CCCCAAAACCCCAAAACCCCAAAACCCCACTTCTAGAGAAAAGAACTGAAACTTAAGATTTTAGAATTGTTCTAGTCTAATTTAGTCTTTGAAGGCATTTTGGATCTGAATTTTCGAACTTGTAAAGGATTTCAGAGCCTAAATTGTTAATATTTTGGTACCTTTGTACGATTCTTATCCTTCCGGATACGAATCTGGGTGGACTTTAGTAATTTTGACAGATTTTTAATGATTCTGATATCATTTTTTGAACCAAGAGGCTTCTAGATAATATTTATGAACAAATGTTAAAATAAAATTAATTTTCAAAAACTTACAGGCAAATCTTTGGACCTATTACGGTTATTATTCACCACAAAGCTTGAAGTTTTGTTAGGAGCATATATATTTTGTGATTTGTTCAAAGTCCTATCAATAAGACCTTGCTTGGGTTTTCTTTTCATTGTTCTGCCCTTATTTTCTCAAACTAACCCCTGATTTTCTGGGTTGAGAGATAGCATCAGCCCGGGCTACGGTAAAGTTAGCCTTGTTTCTAAGAGTAGAAATACTAGACACAACCTGCTTTCTACTATTATAAGGATGGGCTGGTCCAATGCCATAGTAAGTATTGAAGTTTGTTTCCTCTATTGAGAGTCTTTCCCTACAAAGGCTAGTAGACCCATTGCTCAGATCGTACTCTGAGATCAACTGCAGCTTCTCTGTATCTTCCTTCTGTTTGTACTGTGTTGTTCTCTTCCAACGGGAATCTTGATAATTTTTATTCTTGCCTAATTTAAGTGATTTGAAGGCATTATTTTTGAATAATTTTGTTCGAGCTATAATTTATGGTCATAATCCACATGAAGAAGAGCAGTTTTAGCATGATTTTAAATAACTTTAAAGACAAGAGCCTTCTTATCAGCGAGAAAATTTTATTAAAAATATAAAACTTAAATTCCTCTCTGAGAAGATCCAAATCTGAAGCCTGATCGAAGAGTAACAAAAATTAGGAATTGATTACTTTGCACCATATTTGGTTCTATTTTGAGAGTCGAAAGTTGCTGCTGTAGTGTTGGCTAGTCGATCTAGGGAAGAATAATGAGAGTTTTTCATAGGCTTGCCATTTGATGGGTCCATTTTACTGTAGGCTGGTCTTTGGAAGATATTATTTTGGAAAATCCCTTCCTTGACGATACCATCTGGAAATTCCATCCTTCCTTTGCCATGCTGGATTCCTTTATGCCACATTCCTTTGTAGTTTGATCCATCCGTCCAGAACATTTCTCCTAAGCCATGGCGCAGGTTATTTCTGTATTTCCCTATTTCATGTAAGAGAGTATGTTTGTGATTAATTACCTTTATATTCATTGCCTGATTTCCACTTATAATGTCCAAATCCATTTTTAAGATCGTTTTCATAGTCTCCCTCGTATTGGTTGCAGTTCTGGTCTTTCTTGTCCTTTTTCCATTTACCTAATGAGCAATAAGTATGAGATAAAAAGTGGCTTAAAAATTAATTCATGAGAAAGCTACCTTTTCCATGTTTAAATCCATCTTTGAACTGTCCGATGTAAACACTTCCATTGCTCCATAAATATTGGCCTTCTCCATGCATTTTTCCCAACTTATGATCCCCTATGTAAATATCTCCATTGGCAAAGAGCATAGTCCCATTGCCGTTTCTAAGGCCTTTGGTCCATTCTCCTTCATATCGGTCACCACTAGCCCAGACTTGAACTCCATAGCCATCGGCTTTGGAGTTCTTCCACTCGCCTATGTATGATTCGTTATTAATGCCTTTCCACATGCCGTTGCCTTCTTTAACGCCGTGCTTCCACTCGCCATCATAGATATCTGAATTTTTCCATGTGTATATGCCTTTTCCATGGGCTTTGCCCTCATGGAAATGGCCTACATAGTGATCTCCATTCAAATATTTCTTGACTCCGTAGCCGGTGCGGAGGTCGTTCTCCCAAAGGCCTTCATATCTCCTTCCGTCCCGGAAGGAGATAGTGCCTTTGCCGTGACGTTTTCCGTTTCTGACCTCTCCAACGTATACGGAGTTTTCATAAAGGATCTTTGAGATTTTTAGATTTTCTTCATTTTTATTTTCTGTCTGGTCTTCCATTATAAACTTTTATTCAAGTTCAAGAAAAGTTTAGGGGTTTTGGGGTTTTGGGGTTTTGGGGTTTTGGGG